TGTATTAGGAATTTGTCTTTTCGCATTCCCCAGCTTGCTCTCCATGAGAGAGGCTTGGGGTCAGAATGCAGGGAGCCATTTATACAGTGCCCCTTGAGCAGTTGGGGTTAAGGGCCTCGCTCAGGGGCCCAACGGAGAAGGATTCCTCTGTCGGCCATGGGATACAAACTGGCAACCTTTCAGCCACAGGCGCAGATCCTTAGCCATAAGGCTACTGATTGCCCAATCAGTCCTTCGATTGATCATTGGTTATCTCCTTTAAATTCACAAAAGGAAAACTAAACCCAACAGTAAAGCATTGAATCAATAAAACTAACAAATGAATGCAAGCCGTAAAATTGTGCACTAAACCACAAATATAAAACTGGTACAATAGGAATAGCCTTACTAATTAATATGTAGTTTATTGTTCAATCCATTACTGTGAAGGTGATTGAAATTAGTTTATTTAGAGAGCAACTGGACAATTTACTTTTAAAGAGGCAATTATATGCATTATCGGAATTATTTACATTTGCAGAGCAAAGTTATGTAACTCTTCCCATCTTATCTGCTGTGTAATAAGCAACCCATGCAATCAGGCTGTTATACACCACTCCAATGCACTATGGACAAAATGTCTCTTTTTACCTTTTGTTTACAGGGAACAAAATCTGCAGTATACACAAAACATGTATCTTAATCTAGTCTTTTTAGCTAATTAATGGCATTTGAAACACGCCTAAGAAGGCCAAAAACATTATGCGTGTAGGACTTTTCTCTAATATGGAATTGTGTCAACAGCGTGTGAGGTGTGATACGAGGTAAACATTTCAATTCCTGTGAATTAAAAGGTTTAGAACTGTAAATGGTTTAGAACGTCTGCTGATGGGAAGAAACTGTTCCTGTTCATTGAAATTGAGGGCTGAAAGACTGTTGAATAAACGACACAAATCAGCCACTCTGTCATGAGAAAGCTGAAACTATAATTTGTGGGATATGTTCTGATGTATCCCAGGTAAAGATGACAAGTATTTCATACGCTATCTGTTGGTTTACCATAGGAAATTGTCATTGTTCGGTGTTTGTGAAGGCGGCATGCTGATGCAGTGATCTGCACTGCTGCCTCACAGCGCTGGGGCCCTGGGTTCAATTCTGCACCTGGGGTGCTGTGTGTGGAGTTTATATGTTCTCCCCATGTTTGTGTGGATTTCCTCCCACAGTCCAAAGATACCAGTGGGTTTAAATTCCCTTCTGGGAAAATTGGCCGTTGTGTGACTGTGTGCATGTCGGCGTGCCCTGGGACGGACTGGAGCACAGTCCAGGTTATATCCTGCCTTGTGCCCCTGGCTTTCTGGGATAGACTCCTGCTCCCCCATGACCCTGAACTGGATGAAGTGCTTAGAAAATGTGTGGATGGTATCACTTGTCAACACGATTGTTAACGTGGTCAACAGCTTTCTTAATTTTAGAACTTAGGATGATTAAAGGATGCTTCCTTTCCTCTTCCTTTACAAACTCCGAACCCAAACGGAAACGAAGATAGCTCAGGCTGTTTCATCGTAACCAAGGATCTCAGAGCACTTCAATATAATGTTCTAAACGAACAAATATTTGTCTTCAAATAATTCCTTCCCCGAGGCCAAAAGCACTGGATATCCTCCTGTAATAAGTAGGCTACAAAAGCAGTGTTTGTTCCTGATTTGTTTAGCCCAGTTATGCCACAGGTTTTGAGAACCTTACTTGTTGTGGTCAACAAATGGAAGCATGAGGAAGATGCATGAACATGCTTTTACTAGAAATCACAGGTTGCCGGTTTGTTCCAGCTGTTAAACTCACACCTTGCATTCCTTTCTGCTCTGTCCTCAGATATTACACATTCTTTAGTCTGTGGTAACAGTAGCGTTGTCCTGGGTGTGGTTTCAGGCAGTTTAGGAAATGAACGCAGGAGAGGAGATGACTTGGAAAAAGTGTTTTAACTGTCAATGAAAGGATTCAATTCCACTTTAGCTCCTAATCCCTGAAGCCCAGTCACCATTGTCTTCTAACAGAGCAGCGTTCAGGCTTAGTGGCAAAAAAATCGACTTTTTGATCACATACTGGATTTGTGGTCAGCTGACAGAAAGTCACCCTAGTACTTATTTTATGAACTTCCTGTGACAGTGTGTTTCAGACCTTGTGTTTTTACACCTGTTGTTCAGGTCATTAAGAGGGTCACCACCTGACTGAACATTCCCAGATAGACCACTTGTTAGCCAAAAATATATTGGCTGGACTTTAGTGGTTGCTATTTTAAATGCTGTTTTGTCCACTTATTCGGCACCCTCTGCAAAAGACTTTGCCTTGTTTTGGTTCATTGAAAACAAACGAAAATTATTACTGAAGCTACAGGGTGATGGATCCATTGAAAATCAAAGAGGTTGACCTAGATTTTGATACAAAATTAAATAGCCAATGAGGCTGTCACAGGAGATAGCCACAATACCGATGCCACAGCATTGCAAGTTCGATTAAATCCATGATGATGGAATTTTGATTTAGATTGCTGTCTTACATGTATGTTTAACAGCCTGCTCTTCATACATTATGTCTTGCTGTGCAGGAATGCTCTAGACAAATACTGTATTGCCAAACAATCTTTAACAGAGTAGTCAAAACTTTGTTATTCTTTGCAAATGATTTTGATTCTTATCAATGCTTGAAGGCACCTCATTTGTCATTTTAAACGGCAAGAATTATTAGTTCTTTACCATTATTAGTAAACATAATTAAATATAGTTTACCATGATTTATTTCTGTCACAGTGATGTTGTACACTCTTGCAAAAGGTTTCAAGTCGTGTTTTTTGTTTAATAAGTCTTTTAATTAGCACTGCTGTCTCTCCAAAAGAGATGCAAACTCACACAGGAATTACAGACAGACCCCTTTTTATCCCGTGTAAGAGAATACATTTCTGAATGAGGATTACACACTGTACACTTACTGTCAGTCTAACTGTATTTTAATGACTCATCATGACTTGTCCCTCCAATCTCGTTTAAAACCTACTTTTAGGCCACAATGCAAAACGTCAGCACACAGCTTTACAATTATGTATTTCAAGACTGTATCCCAATTGATGGAGATTTCCAGATACAGAAGAGAATTAGTAAAAGGTAGCACAGTGGTAATAAACTCCTTTCCTTTTTTTTTTTAGTAAAGGTTTAATTAATGGCATCTCTCACCCGTCGCCCACAATCACATTCTGCCCTGATTTTTTCATGCCCTAGATAGGCATGTACTGCATCACCAACTTAGATATCTTTCATCTTTGGTCTGAAGTAGGGCAGTTAGCCTTATTCATAGAGTGAAATGCCTGATTTATGATTAAAGACTGAAAGGGATACAGCTCTGCAGCTTTAGTGGGTGATGACTGGAGGTGATTTATCCAATGTCTAAAGTGGCATAAATAAACAATTCTAATTTAGTTCATTTGGCGGGACACAGAGGCAAATGGAAGCTTAGTATGAGCAGCTCACAAGCTGGAATGAAGCAGTGGTGTAAAGGTGTAGACTAGCTAATACTCAGAATATCTTCCCAAGCTGTGCATTTTAATTGGAAGCAATACGAACAGATCTTTCAACACTATGGGTTAGATGTTGCCCTTGAATCGTTTTGGGGTCTGTTTGCGGCGAGCCAGCTATGTGGGGTCAAAGTAATTGTCCCAGTTTTTTTTTCTTGTTCCTTATAAGAATGGATGACACCAACAACTCAAGAATGATGTGGATCCGGATCCTTGTGAATCAGTTTAGAAGATCCCATCTGTCCTTATAAAGGACATGAACTTTGGTAACAGATTTGGTAACAGATTTAATTCGTTCATTCTTTACATTAATACAGCGCCTTTCTGGACACTCCACTCAAAGCGCATTACAGGTAATGGGGACTCCCCTCCACCACCACCAGTGTGCAGCCCCACCTGGATGATGTGACGGCAGCCAGAGTGCGCCAGTACTCTCCCCACACACCAGCTCTCAGTGGGGAGGAGAGCAGAGTGATGAAGCCAGTTCAGAGATGGGAATTATTAGGCGGCCACGATTGGTAAAGGCCAGTAATTTGCAATTTAAAATGTACTTGCGTGGGTGGCATGATGGCACAGTTGTTAGCATTGCTGTCTGGCATTGGGTTCATTTCTGGATCTGGGGGGCTGGCTGTGTGGAGTTTGTATGTTCTCCCCATGTTCATGTGGGTGTCCTCAGGGTGCTCTGATTTCCTCCCTCAGTCCAAAGACACACTGGTAGGTTAATTGGCTTCTGGGAAAATTGTCCCTAGTGTGAGTGTGTCTGGCCTGTGATGGACTGGCGTCCTGTCCCTGCCTTCAGCCTGCTGTTTACTACGACAGCCTCTAGTTCTCCTTCGGTCCTGAACTGGAAGACTTGGTTAGAAAACAGATGGAGGGAATATACTTTCATGAAGGATATTCCTTTAAAGCACACATAGCACTCATGAATCGTAAAATAGGAATTGGAAAAAAATACTACAATGTGTCTGTGAAAAGCCATTACCGGTCATCAGCGTGAATCTCGCTAACTGAGAAACCGTTTATAAATGACATTTTCTGTTGCCTTTGGCAGTTCACGTACTCAGTGCGAATACGGGAATCAAATGAAATCAATCTTTTCATGCATTTAATAGTAGAGCATACCGAATTCAAATTTTAAAACACCTAAACCGTGTTATAAGTGTGACAAATATTCCATCACAAACCGAAATCAGTACAGCTTCCGTCGCCTACCATAATTTTGTGGGTCTATTGGGTTGTGCAACCGTTTCATTTTATACTGTGCAATGATGTAGTGTGTTCAATGCACTTCAGGGGCCAAAAACTCCATTGCGAAAACTGCAGGTGTTTGCAGCAGAAGGAATACATTTCCCAAGATGCCCCGACAGTACGCAGATGTCCAACGACGTGATGTCACTGTAGTGGTTGTGAAGGGCTGTTTTTGTGTGAGCGCATGGATAGGTTCTCGGTTTACTGACAGCAGAGAACAGCATGGAGCGGCGTAGCTTTCATTGACTGGTGAGGAGAGCCTTTTCCCCCCGAAAGCAAAACGAGAAAAACAAAACAGCAGCTGCTCGACAAGAAAAAAGGGGCAGAAATTTGACACGAGGATGGAAATAGAAAACAGGACAAATGGATTCGAGTACGCAGAGAGGAACGATGTTAAGTCTGTGAACGGTAAGGTATCATCCCCATTCAATTTCTGTGCGATTAATATTTGATGTAATTTGCCTTGGATTTCCTATGCACCCGGTGTTACGTGCAAAGCAAGTTTAGCATTTTTGCTTTAATTTGGAATTTAATGACGGATGCAATTTAAAAGTATTGCACAAAAAAGACAAGCAACGCAGGTTTGCATTAAAGTCTAATATTTATGCGCATGTATTTACTCAAAGCAAGAAAAAAACAACTTTAACCTACCAAAATAAACAATAAATATTTTCAGTTCCAAAACCATGACTTTTTACATGATTAATTTAGGTTTTAAATTGGGGGGGGGGGGCATTTAGTTTGGATTCGTTTAGAATTGTATTAGTTTAAGTAAATAACTTAAAATACCCCGTTTTGCACGGGTACATATTGAGGGTACTGTACAAACTAACCTATCAACAACGCATAGGACGGATTTGTCGATGCTGATTTTATTTGCTTGTTCTATTGAGCTTGGGGAGGTGGGGGCTGGAGTTTCAAGAAAATCTTGCTTTTGAAAGGAAGAACATCCTTAGATTAGTACTAGCGGAATAGGAATGTTTCTGTTTGGGACATCTAGTCAGTAGTTTTTTTTTGGGAGGTTGTAAAAGGTGAACTTTTGAACTTGGGGAAGCGCCCTGGAGCAATTAGGTAGAGCTAAAGAAGTCCTGTGAATCCGAGTCACAAAGGATGTTAAAACGAGAGATAACGGGGGCGAAGATTATCACCAGAGGAACATAGTGTTCAATTAGTTTATCAAGTGGGCTTCTTGTACTCTTAGTTTTCGTTTACAATTATTTGCGTCCACTGTTGGCTTTTATTAGCTACATTATTTAAAAAATATATATATTTTTAAAATGTCAACAAACAATTTCTTCTTATACAACATTAGTTGAGCTGGCCTAAAATAAGCTACTTTGTGACAGGAGAGTGGTGTGTCGAACGCATTTTGCTTCATCATCCTGACACCCAACCCCCGAAAACGCACACATTCAAGTGAAAACGGTCCACCAACCTTTGTACTGTATTTGCTCTGGTGATAGTATGTATCTCTGCGGGTGTGTGTAACAGCACGGCTTTTCTGAAGAAACGTTTTGTCTTGGCTAACTGGAAAGCTGTTTGTAAACAGCATCTTTAATTGAAACCTCTCCGTGCAGTGGTTATGTAGTCTATAATTCGACGCCAGTCGTTAAGGGTTCAGTTGAAGGCATGTATGTTTGGTGTTTACGAAATCATATATATCGACCATCAGGGAATTAATTATTTGGCGCCTACTTTTAAATGTCATGTACAGTACCTTGGCCCTTCAAGTGGTCGTTGAATTTTATTGACTCGTGTGCCTCAGACTGAAAACATATCCTTTGATCTGCGATGGGAAGAAACATTACGCAGTTTTCCTGGCTTCAGGTACAAGGCAAAACAGCACCAGTACTGGAAGAGAGCGTGTGTGTGAGGCGGCGTTCTCAGTAAAATGTCATTTCTTTTAAAATAATGTTTTTTTTTCGTCTGCATGCGGAAAAAAAAAACTATCACGATTGTTTGCTTACTTTGTAAGCTATTGGCGGAGCAATTTGATTTAGCTTGCCACCAAAGTCGCACGGTGCGTACAGTAGATCTCGGTAGAAAGCTGAATAGTTTTTAGAAAATTGAGCGTGGGTGTGGGTTTAATTATTATTTTTCCCGAAAATTAACAACTTTATTCACATTTTTTATCGCTTCCTAACAAAAGCCCTTCTCATAAAGAAGTTTAAAAACCACTGGGATGAGCCCCTTAATAACGAAATTTGATTTTATGAGATATTGCACATATCATTCAATTTTATATTATTTAACCCACAGGTGAATGGAAATTTAGATTTGTATTTAGAATTGTTTAAATTTCAACGAGACTGGGAAGGATACTGGAAGACATTTAAACTGAATGTGACGCCGCATGTTAATTTCCTCACAGAAGCGTATTGATATTTTTATTGCCTTCACTTTAGATTCCTTAATATGTTCCCGTTTGTAGCTATTAACATAATTCAAGGCCAAAAGCCATATTTTCCAATATTGTCTGCTGACTGTAAGCAAAGCATCTTTAATTTTATTAAAATTGATTGTTTTGCCTGTAAGGGATTTCCTGGAATATTTTAAAACGGATGAAAATCCTATGCAGTGTGATGTATGCTAGTAATGAATAGGTCGTTTACATCAACTTTGTTCAAATCTAATTTGACTGCTATCTATCAGTACAGAACTGGGATATGTTTGGTTCTGTCAGCAAGGAGTATGTAATATTTTACCCTTGTGCTGAAGATTCAGTTCAATTCCACTCCTGGGTGAACAGGGAAGGTGATTACGTAGTTATAGTTACTTAAAGCATTTATACAGAGCTGTGACTCCCTACAAAAGGAAATTCACTCCTTTTCAGGTGCATAGGGCATTTTAAAATTATCCTGTCAGGATACTGTATATACCTCACCTTTTCCTCATGACAGCAGTGAGCTTCATTTTCCCTTTTCTTAATGAGTTCAATTTCCCTCATGTGGAAATTAGCCTGCCTTGTGGAAACTTGCAATCAAATAGCTGTCTTGGCTCATGAAATGCAATTTTGATCCAAATGCCATTTCAGATAGGAATTTGTTAATCATAAACATCAGATTGCAAAGTCTTGTATGATTAATTTAATGCATTTGAGGATGGTAGATCTTTAAATGATTGCTGCTTAGATATCTCTTAGATTGCAAGTCATTTTTGTCATACGTGTACGAATTGAGTCATTGAACAATTTAATTGACAAAAGTTAATAATTGAAGCTTGAGATGGGCCTTTTTCTATAAATGTACTTGCAAAGTATTTTTTTTAATTGAATCAGTTCTTAATATAGTGAGACTATTTCTTCTGCTGTTAAAAACCTAATAATGATCAAAGCGAATTGAAGGTGAAAGCTGAAATTAATATTATCATAGGGATAGGTAATTAAGTTACTGTGATGACAAAAGCAATCGCAACGGTTTAATTTTAGAGAGACTTATTGATTCGTATCAATTATGGCAAGCTGTGATTTATAAGATTTGTATTGATTTTCTTAACATCACTGATTGATCATTAAAAAAAATGTAATTATGCTTTTACTTGAGAATGGGCTTTACATGGTGGTGCTTAATCATGGATTAAGAAGGTTTAAAAAATAAGTTTTTTTTTTCCTGGCTCTTTGTATATATTGCATGATTCGTAACTCTTGTATTTGAAAGTAAGGGTGTTGAGTTTGTGACCTGAAGGTTAAACAACAGGAAGTAATGGAAAAATATTATTCCATTCATCATTTGTTCATAGTCTTGTTTTGTTATGTTCTTTAAAGATTTGGAGAGAAAATTGCATTTTCATGGATTTTGAAAGCTAACAGGCATTAATTTACTTAGATGTTGATCAATAGAAACGTAAGAGCATTTTAAACTAATAGGCTGGGCAAGTTATTACATTAAAATGTTTAAAGTTTTAGAATCTTTTTGTTGACATTAAAGATACATTTCCTTAAAAATTCTCTGGTGTGGCTGAATGTTTTATTAAGAACCCTTATCATAAAGTGTGTTTATCAAACTGTCTGTGTGAAATTTAGAATTATAAGGCAAGCCAATGATATATTCAGTAGAAAATAAAATACTGATTCAAGTGTATGAAAAATGGGCAAGTGTTTTTAATGAAATCTTGAAAAATGGAAAGTCTGTTTTTCCATGCACACAATAAAAGCCTTCAAAATCTGTAAAATTGTTTCAATATATTCTAATGGTATTCATGTTTTGTATATGAAATGTATCATGCAGAAAGAAATTATGTGTCTATTTAATGTCATTTTTGCTATCTTGGTTTATTAGGATGTATTATTTTATAGGAGGTACTCACATTTGTTTAAAAAAAAACATTTTGGGGGAGTGCAAAGATTGAGTAGGGTATTAATTAAACCAGTCCCTGGTCAACGGCAGAAGCTGGGTGACGGATCTTGTCCACATCAGAATCCCTCTTCTGATTCTTGAATATTTTATTTGTTGTTTGGGGATTATTGATGAGAGAAGAGATGAAAACTCTTAAAGGACTAGTTTAAAGAAGAAAAAAAGTAAAACTTTATCCGTGTAACAGTTGCGCATCTGTGTCGTTTCTTTGACTTTGCCTGCTACAATTTCGGAGACTTTTAAAGTGTGCTGTTTTTTTTTACATTTTCATTTCCTATCAGCGTGGGTGAGGGGGGTGCAGGAACAGTGGGATTAGACACAGTATGTTAGTGACAGCGCACCCGCTCTTGATAAAGTAAAGCTTGGAGGATTCCAGTACAGTAGGTACTGTAGAGAGGACTTGAGTCCTCAAGACCTCTAAAGAAGCTGTCGTTCCAGCCCTGCCAGAGGTGATGTGGTCGGGGGAGAGGGTGGGTGGGGGGGATCTGTGCTTTATTTGCCTGAAGGAATTGTTTTCTTGGGGTGGGCTGGGTAGCTTGACCCCTGCTGAGTCAGGGAATGGTGATAAACAAGTACAGTAGAGTCACAGTGAGTGGGGGAGGACACCACAGCTATCTCTGAGACCCAGTCAAGAGCATGATTAATGACACTCCATGCTAGATCGCTGCAGTGCCACTTTCCTTTCAGAGCACTGCCTATATGCATATGTAAAAATGCCCTTTTGAAAACGGTGCTATATAAGCGCAAAAAGAAAAAGCAGGGCGTTTGTTATGTATTTCCCCAGGTCTTACATGATTTCAAAAGATTTTTTTTTGTCCATCTGATGGATTTAAATTATTCCAACCTAATATAGTGATCAAGGTGAGAATTTTGTAGTAGTAATCAAGTCTTGTATTAAAATAATGCATGAAACTATTGAAAAACCATTAGATTTATGTCAGATTCGTTAAAAATGACGTTTTTAAAATTCTGTGTGGCTTAATTTTCTTTTTAATTTCAGCATTATTTTCAGAAGATTATTTTAAACAGGCTTGAATTTTGCTTTAAAATGTACAG